GGAGGATCCCCTTTTGAGAAGGGAAGCTGGGCTTGGAATTCCCCAACCTCCAGCATGCAAACACACTTCCTTTTTATCGACGCCAGGCCTGAAGGGCACTTCTGGAGATGTCCTCACCCCCTCTTCTTGCCCAGTAGTGGCCCTGGGCCTGGCCAGGACTGCCCTCGGCCCCAGAAATCCTCCAGCAACAGAGACAGAAGAAGCCAAGCAGTCTGGGTTGCCTTCCCCACCCCCTCTCTCCCAGGTGGCTGGGAACTTGAGGTCCACAGTTAGATTCATTCGATTCATTCATTCATTCACTCACTCATGCATCAAACACTCAGGAGACCCCTATCTTGTGCAAGCCCTGTCAACACAGAAGTGGTCCCCGCCCTCGGCGCTCATGGTCAGACAGGGAGGCAGCTGACAGTACCTCACTAGCAGTGCTGGGATGGAGGGCCAGGCAGCGGGGTGGCCGGGAGGAGCCCTGCCTCTGAGATAGGGGAGAGCACTTACAGAGGGGACTGAGGAGGGATCTTGGAAAGAGTGGGAGGGCGGGCCAGGCAGGAGGAGCAGCAGGAACCAAGGCTCAGAGGAGAGGGTGAGGGCTGACTTGGGTGTTGAGGGTAGAGGTATCCCAAACTGGTGTGAGGCTTTTATGACTGTAGTTTCTGGCCTCCCTGGGACGGGGCGGGGGTGGGACAGGGTGGGAGCAGGCAGGAAGGAGAAGCGTCCTTGGCTAAGCTGGAGAAGCGGTGAGCAGTCGGGCAGGAGAGCCTTGGTGCCCCGTCCCAGACCAAGGGTGGAGGCCCATGTTTCGACCTGAGGAGTATTTGGGCCCCAGCCTAGGACCTGGTGCCTCAGCCCTGACTGTCTTTCTCCTGGGGTCACTGGGAGCCCCTGGCAGAGGGAGGAGGGGTGCCCACAGCTGGCCGCCCCGTCAGTCCCTCCCTGCCCCTCCCTCCTCAGCACCGGCAGCAGCGACCCCTACTGCATCGTGAAGGTGGACAACGAGCCCATCATCAGGTACCGCCCCCGCCCTGGCCCAGCTGCCGGCCCCTCCTCCCGGCCCATTCCAGCTCACACACCTGTGCGGGGGGTGGGGTGGGGGTGTGTGTGAAATCTGTGCGGAAATGGCGAGGGCTTGGAGCGTCTGATTCCCTGGGACCCCATCAGGCCCTGACAACCTGCTAGAAGGTATGAAAGACTAACAGTCTTGCTAATTACTGACCTTAAGGCCCAGCGAGGGATTATCTACTTGGGCTGGGCACTCAGCCAAGGGCCTCTCACCGACTCTGTTCCTCTTTACAACCTTTACAGGCCATAAAAGGGACAGATGACAATGATTAGTAACAACAGCTGTCACTTAGGGAGCACGTCTCTGCCAGGCCCTGTGCTAAACCTTTTCCAGCCTGTTTAATACTTACAGTGAGCTCCGTACACTCATCAAATCCCATTTACAGATGAGGAAACTGAGGCTCAGGGAGACTAAGTAACTTGCCCAGAAGGGCCACTCCTCCTGGGTGTCCCTTTCTCCACGGACTCCACAATCCTGGACAGAATCTTTGCTGTCTGGGCCCTCTCTCACCCAGGCCTTTCCCTCAGAGTTCTTGGCCAGAGCCTCTCTGCTTTTCTATCCCCACTGAGTGCCCACTGCTGACCGTGAACCGAGGCTGCCAGACTCACAGTTCTTCCCACCTGCTTTAAGGCCCCAAGCCTTTTTCCAGATTCTGTCCTAAGCATGGATACCGCAGGGGAAGAGTTGCTGGATGTTTCTAATTGTCTCAATGACAGACAGGGAAACCAGGCCCCAGAGTTCAAGGCCCTGTCTGAGAAGTGGTCCGGTGAAGGTGATCCCCTGAGCCTTCATCCGGGTCCTTGTGGATTTCGGCTCCTCACAACCCACATACCCTGCTGAGCCCCATGAGTTGAAGGCTCTGCCCTGGGGGGTTGGCCAGAGCTAGGTGCAGCTCTGCCCAGACAAGACCTCTGCCCTGGACCTTGGCTCCCAGGCCCCCCAGGAGGACTGTCCAGCTCCAGAGTCAACTTGGCCATCCCCCTGCCTCCACCCTCAGCGAGTCTGTTCAGCATCAGGAGCTGAGGGGAGGCTGGGAGGCTGAGTGATCCTGGCTCTGCTGCTGTCCTGCTGTGTGACCTGAGCCCAGCCACTACCAACTCTGGTCTGTTTCCTCAAATGGAAACTGGCCTGATTGATGCAGCCTGTGCCCCACCCGGGACAGAGAGGACAGTCAGGAGGGAATGATTGGCAGTGGATGGTGGGATCTAGGACAAGGAGAATCATCACAGAGCAGAGCAGTTGTTCCCGGGAATGGAGGGGGAGGTGAGGAAGGGTGGCCTCACAGCATGCAGCCTTCCTTGTCCCAGCCTGGGGCCTGCGGGTGGCCCCAGGCAGGTGCTGAGTGTCCCCTCCTGTAGGACAGCCACAGTGTGGAAGACCCTGTGCCCCTTCTGGGGCGAGGAGTACCAGGTGCATCTCCCGCCCACCTTCCATTCTGTGGCCTTCTACGTCATGGATGAGGATGCCCTCAGGTGGGTGGGCCCCCAACCTTTAGCTGGGGCCTGGACCCTGCCATCTGTCCCTCTCTGGCCCATTTCACTGCTGGAACTGATGGTCACTTTGCATCCTTTTTACAGCCTGGAAGGAGGGGGTGCCTGGGAGGGTCTGGAAGGTGCAGAGTTTGGATGTGGTGTGTGTGTGTGTGTGTGTGTGTATGCACTGTGCCTCCACCATGTCATGCATGTGCATGTGCACTGGGCTGCGTGTGCCCGGGGATGTGAGCTAGGAAATGGACACCTGGAGGGAAGAGCTTGGCATGTGTGTGGGCACATGGGTCAGTCTGTGTGCAGGAATGTGTCCCAGGCCCAGATTCCAGAATCCAGGTCTACTGAAGGGACAAGGGTTCTGTCCCATATGACTGGAGTGTTAGCTTCCCTGCTCTCCACAGGGGCCTCCCTGAACAGGGTGGGTGGGGGTCCTGGGCTCCACACAGAGCCCTGCCCAGCTCCAGCTCCTTCTCTACCCTCCAGCCGGGACGACGTGATCGGGAAGGTCTGCCTCACCAGGGACACCCTGGCCACTCACCCTAAGGGTAAGATCCCCGGGAGGGAGCCCGCTCCTGCTTCTCCCACCCCGGCCCCCACACTGTCTGCCCACCCCCACTCAGAGACCTTTCCTCTGGGCTCCTTCAGGCCCCCATGCTCAGGAAAAGCCATTTCTGCCCACCCTGGAAGGACCTGGGCCCTCTCCATCTCCGGCACCCTGGCCTCTGTGCCCTATTCTACCCCCGGGTGGGGACTGCATACCCCCGGGGTAAAGGGGGCTTCTAGGGATGGGGTCTGAGGCCTCTGCAGCAGAAGAAGGGGCCTCTTTATGCTCTGTTGCTGAGGTATAGGGACCCTTTCTCCCAAGGTGGCTGGCTCTGTAGCCCCTGGGGTCCCCTCAGCGTGAGTCCCAGTGTCTTAAGCCTGAGAGGTCAGCCATGAGCCAGGCAAGGCTGGCAAGCCCCTTGGATGACTCTGGGGATGCTGACACAGTTTGGAAGGGTCAGCCCCACTCCAGCCTCGCTCTGTGACCTGGGGCAGGTGCTGCCTCCTCTAGGCTGAGTCCTCATCTACCAGAGCAGACCAGGAGCTCTTAGGTGCTGCAGGCTCTGCAGGCCTGGGCCCCTTTGAGTCTCAAGGGGCGTCCCCAGCACACACCTGCTCCTGTCTGTGAGTCTGGGGCAAGCCTGGGGGAGGGCCGGGGACTTTGCTGACTTCCGGAGCCTTTTGGCCTCTGCCAAGCCAGTGGCCTCTCCTGCCCGTGGCCCAACCAGCCCCTCAGGATCCAGTGGCCCCAGTGATGCCATTCCCTTGTCACTTCCCTGTTTGGGCTGAGGCCCTCCCCTCAGCAGCCCTGGATGAGAGCCACTCTCCCCTTGTTTTAAGATGGGGAAACTGATGCAGAGAGGGCGGTCCCAGGATGGGTCAGGGTCAAGGCCACCAAATGCAGCGTGGCACAGTAGTGAGGATGCAGGGGTCCCTGGACTTGGACTTGAATCCAGACTCCTTTAACTGCTGTTGTTCAGCTTCTGAACCTCAGTTTCCCCATCCGTCCCTGGAGACAGCAGCCGCTGCCTCAGAGGAGCTTGAGCAGATTCCAGGGGGACTTTGGAGGGGCCCGTGGTGCCTGATGGGGCTGAGGGTGAAGAGCCAGGCCTCTGGCTGAGCCACAGTCCCTCAGGTTTCAGTGGGTGGGCCCACCTGATGGAGGTCGACCCTGACGAGGAGGTGCAGGGCGAGATCCACCTGCGGCTGGAGGTGGTGCCGGGGACCCGGGCCTGCCGCCTGCGCTGCTCTGTGCTGGAGGCCAGGTGAGCTGTGGGGGCTGCAGAGCTGGGCAGTGGGCCCCATTGTGGACGTGGGGCCTCCGCTCCCCCAACTCCCCCTCCTGGCCCTGTGCTTTCTCCCAGGAAAGGGGGCTCTCGGGGGGGATTGGGGAGGCTTCTCTGCCCTGAAGATTGTTTCCCAAACAACCCCACTCGGGAAGGGATGACATTCTAAAGGTGGAACTTCAGGCGTCACAGAGCAGTGGGGGTAACGGGTGAGGGGGGCCCTGAACTCTGCCCATACAGCCCCGGTGCCAAGGCTGGGCGTCCCCCTGCTTTAACTTTAATATGAACTTGGCCTGACATGTGAGGGGGAAGTCCTCAGTGGGATGGGGGGAGGTGAAAGGAGTTGCTGAAAATCTCCAGGTGGGAGGGTGGGGTTCTCCCCAGGAGGGACAGTGACTTGGATGGGAAGATGGGCCTGTCACCTGGGACAGGGACCCCCCTCCACCCCGACCAGGGTATTTTTAGCTGCAGGCTCCACTCCCGCCTGGGCCTGAGTGTGAGTCACACACACTCCAGAAGAAGCTTCCTTTCTGGCTCCAGCCCACCTCCACCGGGGCCTTGCCTGCCTCTGGGGTGGGAGTCCGGGGCAGCCCCCAGCCTCCACCTGCCACCCTTGGAGGGACACGCTGCCAGCCAGCACCTGTGCAGGAGTGTCCCCCTGGCAAGCTGGCTGGCCTCTCTGGCAGGAAGCTCTCCCTCCTGAGAATGAGGCCCGTGGCTTTATTTTCTGTCCCAGGGCTGGATATAGAAGAGGCCCAGCCAGACAGAAAAGAGCTGGACTTGGGCAGGGTCAAGGTCATGCTCCCTAGGCTCTGTCATCCTCACACGCCATCCAGTCCCTTCCCACCCATTTCCTCCTTCCTCAGCGTCACCTGGCACCAGGCTCTCTGTGACCCAAGCATACACAGGCTCACATACGCGCTAACATGCTCACACATGCACTCACACTGCCCAGGCTGTCGGGGACACAACGGCTGGGCCAGCCTGGGCGGGTGAGGGCAGCGGTCGGTCAGATGTCTCTTTGGGTGTGAGAGGACTCGTGCCCCACTCTCCTCAGCTCAGACCCCCATAAGGAGCTGCCTTTGTGGCAGAGGCCGAGAGAACATTTTCTCCTCGTCTCTCTGGGCAGACTGTCAACGCCAAGCTCAGGAATTCTATTAGGCAGTTCTGAGGAGGAAAGAAAAGCAGGTGCGAGAGGCTTAAGATGTAAAAGATGGCAAAGAGCAGAAAATCACATTTACAGGGAATGAAGAGGGGTGGGCTTCATGGCTCTTCCACAAAGGGTTCTAAGCCTGGGGCGCACGAGCAGCCTTGGGCTTCGTAAAGGCCCATCTGTGGGGAGAGGGTAGCGTGACAGGCCGGGCTGCTCTCCAAGCCACCCCCCCAAGTAGGGGGAGGTTGCGGGGACAGGCCTGCTAGAAGCCCATTATTTCACTTAAAGGGATTATCTTCTCCATTTTACTGATGAGGACACTGAGGCTCAGAGGGGTGGCCCTTGTCCTCGGCACAGAGGGCGGTGGCGGGCGGGGCACCCCTGGCCCGGGCTATCTCACAACTGCATTTGCCTCGCCTCACCCATCCGCCAGAGGAGGCACTGCAGCTGGTCTGCAGCTCGTCTGCAGCTGCGGAGTCAGGAGCCTTTGAGGATCCTTAGCCTGGTGTGGGGGCCACATGGGGGCCCGCCAGATACATGCAGTGGGAATCGGGGTCCAGAAAAGGGTGAGGCACTCTTGTCACCCAGCTTGGCAGCGCCAGGAGGTGCTCAGGCCTTTCCAGCCTGGTGTGGTTGCCCCACAGCGGTGGGGTGAGCGCTTGGGGAGGCTTGGTGACAAGTGGATGCTCTGCTCCCGCCCAGGGACCTAGCCCCCAAGGACCGGAATGGTGCCTCTGACCCCTTTGTCCGCGTGCGCTACAACGGCCGGATGCAGGAGACCTCGGTGAGGAGGCTGGTGGGCTGGGAGGGGGCAGGAGTTTCTTTCACCATCACCTGGGTGGTCAGGTGGGGACTGCAGTCTTACAGAGGAGGCTCAGAAAAGTGGGGTGACCTCTCCGAGGGTGCACAGTGGGTCCCAGCCCTTTTGGTACCAATTCCTGTGGCCTCAGCCACCTGTCACTCCTGGCTGGGCCAGGCCAAAGACAGCTCTCCTGGGGTTAATCTGCAAAGTCCATACTGCTTTTCTCACCTCTGGGAAACAGCCAGGGTGGTGGGCTCAGCCCTGGCGGGGAGAGCATTGAGACCTGGGTCCTCAGTGCAACCTGCTACCTTTCTGCTGTGTGGCCTTGAACAAGTGCCTTACTAGCTCTGGGCCTCAGCTGCCTCACTTGAGAAGTGAATAGGGGTTTGGACAGGAAGTTCTTACGTCTGCTATTTTGGGGCCTTTGCCTGGACCAAGGAGAGGAAGCTGCATCAGGGCCCCTGGGGGGCACCCAAGGGAGGTGTTTTGGTGGCTCTACCCCATGGAGTCAGCCCTACCCCCACTCACCCCTTTCTGGGCAGATCGTGAAAAAGTCATGCTACCCACGCTGGAACGAGACGTTTGAGTTTGAGCTGGAGGAGGGGGCAGCGGAGGCGCTGTGCGTGGAGGCCTGGGACTGGGATCTTGTCAGCCGCAACGACTTCCTGGGCAAAGTGAGCACCTGCCCCTTCAGGCTATACCTGCTGCCTCCCATGCTGGCCTCCCTTCCAGCCATCCCGTCCCACTAGCTGCCCTGCAGAGGGGCACCCAGGAGACCTGGGACTTCTCAGAGTCAGCTACTGGTGCCCAGGGACCCTCAGAAGGCACCTCCCTTCTCAAAAGAAGAGTCACTGGCAAGGAAGAGATGTAAGGATCCCAGCCCCAGGGTGCCCCCCACCCTTCTGCCCTGCCCCCAGGTGGTGTTCAACGTCCAGAGACTGTGGGCAGCCCAGCAGGAGGAGGGCTGGTTCCGGTTGCAGCCCGACCAGTCTAAGAGGCGGCGGGAAGAGTGAGTACCTGGGGCTGGGCTGGCAGGCCAACGGGGGTCTCTGGGCCCCTGGGAGGCTGAAAGTTAACTCCCCAGGCAGGCAGGGGTGCTGATTAGGGGTGGCTGATGCAGCCCTAGGCTTCTTTTAACCCTTGCCCACCGGCCAGCATCCTTCTCCATCTGGTAGAATCCCGCCTCTTCTGCCTTCTCATAGTCCTGGACTCAGCCCTGTCCTTGGAGCTCCAGGGCAGAACAGGTCTCTGTTTTCTACCTTCTGGTAGATTCTAGAACCAGCCTTCAGACCCTTTCCCTTTGAGGGTTTCTCTGCAGACCTCAGACCAGAGTTCAAGCCCCCAGAGCTGCGAGTCAGTGTCCCTGAGCCATAGCTCTGACTCATCCCCAGATTTTCCAGGAACAGGGTTACCAGATAAAATGCAGGATGCTTGGTAACACTGAGTTTCAGATCAACCCTGGATAATTTTTTAATATATGTCCATGCAATATTTGAGACAAACATGTTAAAAATACTCAGCTTAACTGGGTGTCTTGTATTTTAAGTTTGGTAAATCTGGCAGCCCTGTCAAGGGAGCCCTCCGGCCTCCTTGTCCACTACTTAACTGAAAGTGGAGGATCAGCCAGGACCCCACCTCAGATGGGGGCTCTGGCTCTCTGTAGAAGGCCTCAGACGCCCCCCACCCCCACCCTCAACAGGGCAGGGGCAGGGCGCACGGCTGTGTCCAGCTCCAGGCATCTCCATGAACCAGCCATGGGCAGCCTTGATGGCCACTACTGCAGGTGAGGCCGTGTGTCACTCAGTGAGCTGAGCTGTGCTGCAGGGCGGGAGCCTTGGAGACTGGTACGCGTTGGTCAGCGCCCTCCCCAGGAGGGGTCAGCACGGAGGAGCTTGGAAGTTAGGCCCAATGTAGGAAGTGGCTTCTGGTGTTAGAGCCTCCGATTCCCCTGGCAGGATGTTAGGAGGCTTGGGAATTTGCTTCCAGTGTAAAAATACACATGCAGGAGCTGCTCTTTGGGAGTTGAAAGACTCAAGGCTCAGGAGCTCAACATGTCCACTCGGGTGAAGGCTGGAGCCCCGGGGTCTAGAAGTGGCGTGGAGCCAGGCCTTGAAGACAGATGGAGTTCCCTGGCTGTGGAGGCAGGAAGGGCCTTTCGAACAGAACAGCTCGGGCAGTGCAGGAAACCAAGGTGGAGGGCACGAGCAGAGAGACAGAGGCGGACCCCAAGCTGGGGAGACGGAGGCAGTGTGGGAGGGGGCGTGGCCCCAGTGGCCTCGTTTCCTGGTGGAGAGGTCACAGGCCTCCCATTCTAGGGGCAACCTGGGCTCCTTGCAACTGGAGGTGCGGCTGCGGGATGAGACGGTGCTGCCCTCCGGCTGCTACCAGCCACTTGTGCAGCTGCTGTGCCAAGAGGTGAAGCTGGGCACCCAGGTGAGGTCCCCCCCACCCCCTGGGGAAGGTGGGAGGGTCCAGGGACAGTAGACAGGGTCACCCTGTCCTCAGCCCGCTCTGAAGAGCAAAGCTCTTGAGTTGTCAGGTCGGTAAGGAACCAGCCAGTGTCTAGGGCCCCTCCATCCCTTGGGAAAATCCCCCCTCCCCCATGGTGGACCTTCTGCAGTCCTCAGAGTGAAGGGTTTGGGTTCCCCTGTGCATCCTGCAGCCCTGCCTCTCCTTGCTGCCTCCTGCAGGGCCCAGGGCAGCTGATCCCACTCATCGAGGAGACCACAAGCACCGACTGCCGCCAGGACGTGGCCACCACCCTGCTCAAGCTCTTCCTAGGACAGGGACTGGCCAAAGACTTTCTGGACCTGCTCTTTCAGCTGGAGCTGGGACGCACCAGTGAGGCCTGGGAGGGAGTGGCCTGTCTGAGGGTGTGTTGGGTAGGGGAGCCAGGAGCCAAGGACTCCAGGGATGCTGGGAGGGGAAAAATCCGGAAGTCCTCCTGTAGGAGGTTGATGGGTCCGATTAGGACGGAGAAGGGTCAGATTAGGAGGCAAAGAGAAGAAAAGGCAGAGGTGGAGCTCTGGGTTGGGAGGTGGTGAGAAGGCTCTTTCCTGGGAGGCCAGTGTAGAGCCCCCCAGCCCCAAGGTCCTCTGTTCTCCTCCCCCAAGCCTTGTCCCTCTCCCAACCCCCTACCCACTGGAACCTCTGCTTGTAGATGAGGCCAACACCCTGTTCCGGAGCAATTCTCTGGCCTCCAAGTCCATGGAGTCTTTTCTGAAGGTGATGTTGCATGATATATTGTCTTTGTTTTATAGATGAGGAGACTGAGGTTCAGAGAGGCCAAGAGACAGAGTGGCAACTTAAACCTGAATCTTCTGTCTCCTGTCCAGGGCCCTTTTAAACCTAAGAATTTCATTCAGTCAATTATTTATTCTTTTATTCACGTAGCAGTAGTTTATTGAGCCGCCCTCTCCTTGTCCCTGGCTCTATTCCGAGTGGATACAGCAGTCAGGTGGTGCAAGGGGTGGCTGGGAGGCCAGCTGCGGTGAGGTGGCCAGCAGCTGGAGGTGGGAGAGGGACCAATGCTGCTCACGGTGGCCCCCAGGTGGCTGGGATGCGGTATCTGCATGGCGTCCTGGGCCCCATCATTGACAAGGTGTTTGAGGAGAAGTACGTGGAGCTGGACCCCAGCAAAGTGGAGGTCAAGGATGTAGGGTGAGGCCACGGGTGATCCCTGAAGGCGTGGTGGGTAGGGGAGGTTAGGCCCTTTCTGCAAGTCTGTGATTATGGCTCTTTCTACCTGGGGATACCTTTCGTCTGGTCTGCCCACTTGTGCTTTGTCTCTGTGTCCTTGCCTCGGCTGACGCCTGTGCCTCCGGGAGCCCCAGTCCGAGTCGTGGATGCAAGCGCTGACCTCGACCTTTCTGCGGGTTCTCTCCCGCCCGACTCAGGTGCTCCGGGCTGCACCGCCCTCAGACCGAGGCTGAGGTGCTGGAGCAGAGCGCACAGACGCTGCGTGCCCACCTGGGGGCGCTGCTGAGCGCGCTCACTCGGTCGGTTCCCGCATGCCCCGCCGTGGTCCGCGCCACCTTCCGCCAGCTCTTCCGGCGCGTGCGCGAGCGCTTCCCCAGCGCCCAGGACGAGGTGCGCCCTCTGCTGGTGGGGCTGGGCGGAGGGGAGAAAGTGATGGGGAAAGAGGGAGCTGTGGGGTCCCAGGGCATGGTGGGAGGGGGGACGGACGGTTAGAAGCCGAGGGCCAGAAGAGAGGCAAGGTCATGGGGGGAGGGAAACAGGGTTCAACGCCCAAGGCGGGGGGGGGGGCTGTGAGAGCCCAGGCCCCAGGGAGTCTGGCCCCCAACTCTCCCACACCCTTCCAGAACTTGCCCTTCATCGCCGTCACCAGCTTCCTGTGCCTGCGCTTCATCTCTCCTGCCATCATGGCGCCCAAGCTCTTCCACCTACGCGAGCGGCACGCGGACGCCCGCACCAGCCGCACCCTGCTCCTGCTGGCCAAGGTCCGGGACTGTGGACGCCGGCGGGAGATGCCCCGCTGGGTGCTGAACAAGGGTCCCTACCTGGACTGCGCTGTGTTCCCCACCGGCTCCAGGAAAGCCTCGTGGCTGGCCACGGATATTCTCACGTGGCGCTGCACTTCGATTTACAAAGCTTTCTTGGGCCAGGGTACCCAGTGGAGCAGAATCTGATATTGAATCTGTAGTGGAAGGTCAATAGGCGGGCCAAAGTAGTCTCAATTAAAAGTCCCCAGAAGGCCTCAAAGTGATCCATTCACTCCTGATCCCCAGTGTGCTGCCCCTTCCTCCATTTCTACAAGGGTAGTAGCACAGACTAGGAGGGGTTTGGGGTGGGTGAGCTGCAGTGGTCAGGCCTCTGACCCAGCAGAGAGAGCCTGGCTCTTCCTGCTGTCACACCTCCAGGCGGTCCAGAACGTGGGCAACATGGACACGCCGGCTTCCAGGGCCAAGGAGGCGTGGATGGAACCACTGCAACCCACAGTGCGCCAGGGCGTGGCCCAGCTAAAGGACTTCATCACCAAACTGGTGGACATCCAGGAGAAAGAGGGTGAGTGCTTTCCGGTGCGGCCCTGCCCCCAGCTACCCCGTCCCATGGCCCCGCCCACCTGAGTGCCTTTGCAGCTTCGCCATAGCCTGCTGTTGACGTTTGCTCCGCCCCTGGCCCCGCCCTCGCCCCAGGCTCACTTGTCCCCCTCCCTCCCTGGCCGGCAGAGCTGGACCTGCAGCGGACCCTGAGTTTGCAGGCACCGCTGGTGAAGGAGGGGCCGCTTTTCATCCACAGGACTAAGGGCAAAGGCCCCCTCATGTCCTCCTCCTTCAAGAAGCTCTACTTCTCCCTCACCACGGAGGCCCTCAGCTTTGCCAAGACACCCAGCTCCAAGGTGGGTAAGGAAGGAACAGGGCAGGTCTGGCTCCGAGGGGTTTTAACACCCTAGAGACACCTGTCCATTTCTTGGAGCCCATCCCAGAGTCCACCAGGGTCAGAGAGGAAAGCCAGGCAGGTGCACGCTTCTGGTGTCTGCCACAAGGTCACTTAAGACCAATGAGAAAGAAGCCCCACTGCCTGGCGGGCCCTGGGGTGGGCAGTGGCCGCAGTGTCCAGCCCTGGCGATGGTCAGGTGATGGGTGAGGTGGGGTTCTGAGGGGTGCTTCTGGAGATCAAGGAAGCAGAGAGGGGCTAAGAGGAGTCCTGGGTTCCAGCCCTGTATACCTAGGGGAAGTGTGTCAACCTGTCTGAGCCTTGGGGGCTTGGCCTGTAAATTGGGGATAATGGTCCCTACTTACCGGGTTGTTGAGAATTAGATGAGATGATCTCTCTAAGAGTCCAGAGCCAGGGCCTGGCGCAGAGCACATCTCAACCAATGTATTGTGAAGACACTATGTCCCCTGGGCTGGCCTCTTATGAGCACTTTCCTCCCCAAAAGGGCTGAGCTCATACTTTCTGGATAGACCTGTTGGCCCCTAGCTGGGCCAACCTGATCTCCAGTCCCCAGGGATGCCCAACCAGCCCTGTGCAGCTTGAGGTGGGGCAGAGCGGGTGAAGGGGCTCCCAGAGGTAACCCTTCAGCCCAGGCCTCCCACTGTGCATTTTCTTTCACTTCAAGCAACTGCCCGGCCCTTAGGTCACCTCGGCAAAGCCTGGCTACCTGGGCCCTCCCTCACGCTGCTCTGGGCCCCTTTCCATTCCTTGGCATTGAGCTCTGACATCCTGTGGGCACATCCGTGTATCCCCCTGTGCACTGCTCATCTCCTTTCTGCCTCCTCTCCAGCCGACACACCCCTGCACGGGCAGCACTTCCTCTGCGATGTCCTGTCTGTCCTTTGGGAAGCCCACCGGGAGGAGGCTCAGTCATGTGTCCCCAGGGTCCCTCTCCAGGTTTCCCCAGTCCTCCTAAAAGGTGGTACTGTCTCCTCTGCTTACCTGTAAGGCCAGCAGGGGTGGTGGGTGTTATCCTGAGGGCCAGGGGGTCCAGTCATAACGATGGTGAGAGGCCCTGGTGAGTTCTGACGGGAGAGGGTTCAAGAGACAGGGAGAACAGGGGCTGGGCGCTGGCGACACAGATTCAGCTGTAACACATTTTGAAGCCGGAGTTTCTCTCTGTTGCACTGTATCTTGTCAAATTCGATGATAGCAGGGGTGGGGCAGGGGCGGGGAGTTGGGGTATGACCTTGAGAGTCTGGAACATCACAGTGAGTTGGGAAATTAGCTGCAGAGGCACAGGGCCTGGTCCACGCCAGGTGGTGCTTTCCAGCCCCGGGGAATACTGTGTTTCCAGACACTATACCAGAGCTCAGACCTCCCGGGACTGCTCAGAGCCCCCGAGGGGTCGGGCACTTGGCCACCCTCTATCTGCGCTCTGTCCCGCCTGAGGTCATTCAGAGCAGGCTCCTGGGAGCGTAGGCACTCTGGGTCTCCCCCACAACCCCTGATGCTGCCAAAGGAGAGACTGAGGCCCAGAGACAGGAAGTGGAGCAATCCTGGCTGTGCCCTGAACCTCCCTTCCCCTCTCCACCCCAGAAAAGCACCCTCATCAAGCTGGCCAACATCCGGGCAGCAGAAAAGGTGGAGGATAAGAGCTTCGGCAGCTCGCATGTCATGCAGGTCATCTACACAGACGATGCGGGCCGGCCCCAGACCGCCTACCTGCAGTGCAAGGTGTGGGCCGTGTGGAAGTGGCACCTGGGAACGGGGGTGCTGTGGGAAAGCACCAGGGCAGGCTGGGTTGAGGATTCAGCGAGTCTCCCACCCCCTTGTTGGCCACATCCAGGACAGCAGGGGTGTGGGATCTGATGTGAGCACAGCGTATGTGTCTCCTGGAGTCTGGGTGCCTGGGAGGCCGTGCCCAGGTCTGTGGGGGGCCCTGCCTAGGCACGCACACATAGGCCTGGGTGGAGCCAGTGTCTGGACAGGTGTGTCCCTGTGGTTTGTACATGGTTGTTGGAAACTGTATTTCCAAGTGTCTGAGTTGGTGCCTGTGTGTTTCTGCGTGTATCCATATATAACAAGCGTGCATTTATGCAAGTGTGTGGCTCTGGCACGTGCTCTCATGTCCCTTCCCATCTGTTCATGTATTAACCCAGTCACTCATTCATTCATTCATCTAAAAAGTATTTATCGAGCACCTGGTGGGTTCCAGGCAGCAGCAGACAAAGAGACCTTGTCCTCATGGAGCCTCCATCCCAGGGAAGAAGATGGACCCATAAATAAATATGTAAAATGTCCAATGGGAGCCAGCGAGGACTGAGAGAGAAGGGACAGAGTGGGGTGCAGCAGGGAGGGGTACTCTGGGAGGGTCTCTGGTAGGTGGCATTCGAGCAGGGACATGGGGAGGGAGCATCTGGGGGATGATATATGGAGCAGGTAGAAAGGCTGACGTTGGAGGGGGCTTGCTGTGTTCCCAGGGGTGACTGTCCTGGGCAGAGGGGTAGGAGGTCACAGACCCATCCCATGGGCCACCTCTAGGGACTCCTTGTTGGGTCAGAGTCTAGAGCCACAGGAAAGAAATGGTGACAGCAGAGTCACCACATATAGTTGACAGGTTGTGGCAGGTGTGGGGGCCAGTGGCTGCTAAAATCCAGCCCATGCTCTGCTCAGCAAGTCATGTGCCCAGGTGTGGGCTGCATTCATCTGGAGAAAGTGCAGCCTTTCCTACTGCGCCTGAAGCTACCAAGCGGACTAGCAGGGAGGGCTTCCCGGAGGGGGTGACCTCCGATCAGCGCCCTGCCCGCCATGTACCCTGCAGTGTGTGAACGAGCTGAATCAGTGGCTGTCTGCACTGTGGAAGGTGAGCATCAACAACACCAGCCTGCTGCGCTCCTACCACCCTGGTGTCTTCCGCGGGGACAAGTGGAGCTGCTGCCACCAGAGGGACAAGACAGGTGGGATGGAGGCCTGGGCCCCATGGCACTGCCTCTGCCTCAACAGGCCGCAGGCCCCTGGCTCAGACATGGGTCCCTGGAGCCCCACCTTGCTGGCCAGGCCTGGGAACCACCTGTGCACCTGAGGGAACGAACCTGAGCGTGGCTGGGCCCCGCAGGTGCTCTGGGCAGAAAGGGTTCCGTGGCCCTGTTGTGTGTGGGCACGTGGGTGCCTCAGAGGCCCTCAAGGAAGCCTGAAAATGAGTTAGAATATCCTATGTGATTTAGTTCAGTACTTCTCAAACTCCTTTGACGGGGAACCCCTTTCCGGCCCAGTGGATGAGCTTCTTGTACAACCGGTGTTCTGAGGGACACGCTTTAGGCACTCCTTCCCAGGAGCGCAGAAGAGGCCCCGAGTTGGCACATGCTCACGCTGGCAGACCGGTACTGCAGCTGTGAGCTGGGGGGACCCTGGGTCTTGGGCACTAGAGGGATGGCAGAGGGGACCTTCTACTAGAACGTCTGGCGATAATGGAGATGGCGTGCGTCTGTCCAGGACTGCGCATGTGCTGTCCACGAACACGTGGCTGTTGAGCACTTGTGATGTGGCTGGTGCAGCTGAGAAACTGAGCTTTACATTTATTTTAATTTCAATATAAATGTCCTCGTGTGGCTAGTGGCTCCTCTCTCAGACAGCACAGTTCTAGAATGTTCAAGATCCTCCGTTATCCCCACCTGCTTTACAAAATTCCTGCTCCCTCATCAAGGAGACTAGCCCTTGGAGCTCCCAGGCCTCCAGGCCAGGCCTTGACCCCCCGGGCCCGCACAGTAGAGGCCCTCGGAGGCTGTCCCGCCTACTCTAGCCCAGCCCTGGACTTGAGGTTGAGCGGTGGCACCTAGAGAGAAGGGTGTCCCTGGCTGGTTGGCTTGACCAGCAGCCTCTGGCTGTAATCTTGTGGTAATAACCCTCACCACTAGTGAAGTGGGGCTAATCTGGAGGGATGAGAGGCTGCCCCTCCCGGAAGTGGGAGTACCACGGGCAGGCCGTGGGCCAGACTCTAGGCTGTGTTCCAGGAAGTTGGATGTGAGCTCTCACAGTGCCTACCCACAGCTCTGCCCTCTCTCTGCCCCCAGATCTGGGCTGCGACAAGACCCGGTCCCGGGTGACCCTGCAGGAGTGGAATGACCCTCTCGACCACGACCTGGAGGCCCAGCTGATCTACCGGCACCTGCTGGGCGTGGAGGCCACACTGCGGTGAGGAGGCCCGTGCACGGGCAACGAGTCTCACACAGGAGCACCTGGGTGACCCTGGCAGAGCCAGAGCTGGGATTCGGGCTCAGGGCTCCTCTGCGGTGGCTAGTCTCTTCCCTCCTACTTAGGGCCCGCGCCTTTCTGCCTCTGGCAGCCACACCTGGGAACACCTGGATCTCTGCAGCATGAGGCTGGTTCACATCAGGATGAAAGTCCTGAGGGCTGTGGAAGCCCAGGGTCCGGCTGAGGAAGCCCAAGGTCCAGCCGTGGCCGCTTCCTGCCCCAGGCTGACCCAGCCCCCTCAGCTGCTCAGCCTTCCTGTGGTGCCCTGGGAGCACCAGGATTGCCCTCAGCCAGCTCCCTCAAGTCAGTGGTTCTCAGCCCTGGCTCCAGCTTAGAAAACACAGGACGCTTTTATAAAAACACTTTAAAAAACAGGATGCCTGGGCCCTACCCCACTGACTCAGAATCTCTGGGGTGGGGTTCAGCGTGGGGATACTTTAAAGCAGCTTATCAGATGAAGACCACCCACTCCTCTGTGAGTGGCAGTCACCAGAGGCCCCAGGGTCACTCTGTAGGCACCTCCTTTCTGATGGTGTGGCCCTGTCACTGGCTCCCTCTCCATCCCTACTCTGGCCCCCTGTTTAGAGATTGTCCTCCAGAGCACAAAGTCACCACCCTGTCTGCTCCGTTCCTGAGGCCCACGCTTCCAGAGACTTCACCCATCAGGACCTTTACTTGCTTGGCCACACCCTAGAACTTGCCCTTCCTCGTCTCCCCCTTCTCATTTTCCAGGCTCCATTTTAATTTCACTTTCCGTATAAACTCATGTAATTTCCACAACCACTGAACCACGTGAGTGGTCTCATCATCTCCCATTTAAGCCAGGAAGCGACGGAGCTGAGATTCAAGCGACGCCACCTCAGGTTCAGGTGGGACCATTGCCCGTGGTCCTAACCAGCACGGCCTGCCCTGAGAGCCTGCCCACCTCCAGAGCCTCTGGGCCGCGCCCCCTGGCATTCCAGCCCACGCCACCAGACCGTCTGCTCCACTGAGACCTCCAGCCACCGACCCAACCTCCTGTCCCCAGCCGCTTGCTGTATTTCCTGTGGCTGCTGTGACAAGTTCCATACATTTGGTGTCTTAGACAACACAGATTTATTCTTTTACAGTAAATGCTGAATAAGCAGATGAGCAGAGGGGTCAGGGACCAGATCAAACCCGCGGGGCCTTGACAGCATCTGAGGAGGAGGAGCCTGTTAGACCTTAGCAGAGGGACACATCTCTCCCCAAATAGATCAGGGAGACAAAGGGCTGAGCCAGTAGAATTCCTAAATAAGGAACTACAAGTGCGGGGTCCGCATGGCTGCCCACCCTCCCTCCGTGGACAGAGGACTGTACCTGAGGGGCCCATGGACCTTTGGTGAACCCCGGTTAGAAACTGTGCTTGAAATGTCTCTCTCCTATTCCCACAAGAGCGACACTCATTCCTTAGCCAGTTAACACTAAGGGATTTTCAGGCCCCAGGTGACTCTCTTTCCAAGGGCCCTTTGAAGCTGGAGTGACACGGTTCAAGCTTGGTTTCCAGAGTGCCTTCTGTTGACCTAGCTTTGTGTGCGTGTATGGGGATGCGGGGGGGGGGGGCAGGGACCAGAGGAGGAGGCTGGAAGAGGAGAAGCAGGTGACCAGGGGCTGAGACCTGGGCCCATGTTTCTTCCATAGATTGAGAGAGTCAGCCCCCTGCCCCCAGGAGCCCCCCCAGCTCAGGAGGCCCACCCTGGGTCACCCAGCCTTCTGGGCAAGGACACCAGGAGCCCTCACACCTCATCCTCCCCAACAGGGAGAAGCACCAACAGCTGAGTGCAGGCCCAAAGGCAGGCGCTGTGCCAACAGGCCCTGGAGAAGGTAGGTCCCCCCCTCCCCCAGCCCCTTCAGGGATGCCATGGGTGAGGCTCCCCTTCCAGGGGCCCTCGGGACAGGCTCTGTCTGCTCTGCCTTCTTCCTACGTCTGCCTCCAGCCCTTGGGGACCCACTGGCCCAGCTGCTCCAGGTGCTGCAGGACCTCCGGGAGGCCCACAGAGCCAGCCTGGCCGGCTCCCCGCGCGCGGAGCCCAGCCGCCTCCTGGAGCTGCAGACGTGAGGCTGCCCCACATTCCCTCACCAAGCCCTTGCCAGGTGCTGGGAGACCCCCGAGCACTCTCAGCTTTTCACCTCAGTCCCTCTCGTTGGGGTGCAGGGCCTGGGTCTCTCCTGGGCTGGGGGAGCTGGGAGAGCCAGGGGCCTCGGGCCCAGAAGTCTGGAGCTGATGTGGCCTCGGCCTGCTGCTGCCCATCTACCATCTCTAGGGGACTTAGGGAGCTCCAGCTCCTCCGTGAGGCCCGGCTGTTCCCCGCTATCCCCGCAGCCATTGCTGTCAACAACCCAGACTCCCCAGGGACCCTCCTCTCCTGCCCAGGGCAGACCTAGCCAGAAACCCCCCTTAGTGTGGTTCACACCCAGACAGACTGATGCTCCTTGGACCCAGAGAGGCAGGAGGGAACAGAGGGCCCAGGAGAGCAGGCCTTGACCTCGGCACCGTTGCTTCTGGCCACCATCCCACCTGCTGCCCTCGCGGCCTTGGCTACGCCCCCGGGAGAGTGTCACGGTGCTCTGTTGCCAACAATAAACCTGCTATGACCGCGGAGGCTCTGGGGTCTCGTGATGGGGGTCCGTCGGCTGCCTAAGAGTAGTGGGTAGCCAAGGACTGGGGCCGCTGGCATAGCCTCTGTGCAACCCCATTGCCCATTCTCTGCCTACCCCCACCCCGGGGGCCCCATTCCTCCCCCACATGCTGTCCCCACCACACCCCTGGGTCCCACTGGTCCATCCCCCACAGGCTTCAGAGCCTGACGTGTCTCATTAGCTGGCTCCTTGCAGCCCCCAAACAGACCCTTCCTCCAAGAGTCCTGAAGACTGCACAGTGGGGGCAGTTAAGAACCTCAAACCATGTGGCCTGGCCCTGGCAGTGTCCCTTACACCAACCCCCTTGTCCCCCATGTCCCCCTTGTCCGAAATAAGGCTTCCTCGGGTCATCACCTCCCTGCACCCATCCCGGTCCATCCCTAGGTATGCAGCAACCTTCACCATAATTAACAAGACAGGAGGAACAGGGTATTCTAGCACATTCTTAAAACTCAGCCAAGCTCAGAGCCTCGCCTGTGAATCCCATACCTGTGACAGTCACCAAGGGCTCAGGTCATGGGCAGGACCCCTGACCCAGCTGACTAGCCAGGCTCTGGGGAAGTGCCCTCTGGGCAGGCCACATGCTGGGTTTTTTGAGGGATGGCATAGAAAGGCAAAGGGGGATGAAGGTACAAGGGGCTGCCCCCTCCCATTTACTCAATGACTTTTGGGGCCATATCGACCTTTCCTCCTGGCAACAGCAATGGGAGGGGTGGTAACCCCTCCACAAGCAGCCCACCCACCTGGCCCCTTGGATGTTCGTCACCTCTCGGTCATGATACTACCTTCCTATGGGCCTCGTGAGCCTCTTCGCAGAGCTAGGCATCTCCCCTTTCTTCCTGGCCCAGAGCTCAGGTCCAGGGGTGTCTGAGCCTGCCCCCCACCATCACCAACACTGCTTCTCTGGGTACTTTCTTAGGGCCTCACACAGATCCTCATGCCTGTTAGATCTTCTTGGGTTTCCAGGACCTCATGGTCAGAATTATGGACTCCAGGATGTACTGAGCCCTAAGGCAGGGAGTGAAGGGGAAAGAGGTGTGCACTTATCAGGGCTGCAGCAAGTAGATCCCTGGACTTTAACCACCCTCTCCTCCAGGGGATCCTGGTGTGGGCATGGCCATCGTAGCCAGAAGGGGAGTGACAATGGCTCTTTATTTTTTTTTTAATTTTGAGGGGGAGGTAATTAGGGTTATGTATTTATTTTAATGGAGGTACGGGGGATTGAACACAAAACCTCATGCATACTGAGCACGCACTCTACCACTGAGCTACCCTCCCCACCCCTCTGAAGGGGAGTGAAAATGAATAAATGCCTGGCGCTGCCCCCACCTCTCCCATCAATATCACATCCCTAGGTTCTCTCAGGTTCTGAGCAGAGCTACCTACAGCTTAGGATGCCACTCTTTGGAAGTCATCTGCAAAAAGAAGATGGACAGAGGAGACTCCTGCCTGCCCTCAGCACAGGCAGGTACTGGAGGTCACCCCTCCACCTGCCCAGAGATTCTACACCACCACTGCCCCAGGATCACCAGGCCTGTTACTCACCTGGGGCCTGGGGTAAGTCCCCCAGATGTCTTAAGGGTCTGATTGGACCTTCAGGCCTGCAGCCCAGGGGGCTTGCATTCAGCACAGGACAGGCACCCTGGGGAGCCCTGAGTGGACCCAGCTCACAAAGCATGTGCATCTTTCATCCTCCAGGCTGATCCCATAGGAAGTCTGTGCAAATTCCCACCAATCTCCTCGAGAAATTCCTGTCAAAGTATAATTTTCAAATGCGTTTTAAAAATTACTCATATAAACAGAACAAACATGTATCCAAGATTTATTACACTTCAAGGAGGAAACAGTTTGGCAGAGCCGGTTCGTAGACTATTTTGAGAAGCTGAGTAATGTTAGAATAAGATTGTGATTCTAGACGCAAAACTGGTTGATGCAGTCTTCTTCTCTGTGGGGTAGAAATCAACAAGTTAATAAGTGTCTGGGCTCTAACTGAATAATAAATACCAAAGTCAAACACAGGTCCTTTCTCCAAAATTAGCTGTTGGCAGACTTTTTCTGCAAAGGCCTGGGTTTGCAGGTTTGGGTCTCAGTTACTCTTGTAGCACAAAAATAGCCACAGACAAGTGAGGAAACAAATGGGCATGGCGTACTTCTGTGAAATTTTGTGCACAAAAACAGGTGGCAGGCTTGATTTGGTCCCAAAGCCCTCACATTTTGACCATCTCTCCCTAGATATTTAAATAACCCTTGGTCCGTCCTGTTCAGCTGTGCTCTGGTCTGGCATTGATATATCACGCAGTCCCACTGCCCCTTGTTTCCAAAGTTGGATAATGGTTGTTGGCATCCCTTGTTTCCAGCAGCCCCTTACACAGTGGTGCCAGGCTGGCCTAGCTCCCTTAGATTTATGAAAAGATGGGAATGGTCTCTTGGCCTCCCCTTGGGAGACACCAAAACTGAGCCACTGAAAACTTTGCGGGGGTGGGGAAAGCGGTGTTGACAATTTCTGGAGCCCAGGATCTTCTGTTGGTCTGGGAATAAAAGGGCAAGTATGACCAGAACTCCCTAGAGAGGACAGACTTATACAGGGGCAGGGAGTGAAGCCCCTGCTGGTAAAAATCCTCTCCCCGTGCAGTCCCTAGCCCAGTTAAAACCAGCCAGCCTCATCACCTCCAGGTCCCTGCAATCCTGGCAAGGGTAGCATCAGTCAACTGGAAAAAAAAACAAAAAGCACAACGTGAAAGTTCAGAATGATGCTTTGTTCAGAGGACATCCTGAGGACTTATGCCCATGCCCCGGTAACAGACTCTTAGACAATGCTGAGTGACAGTTCTGAAGAGGTAAGGGAGGGGTCAGGATATGTAGGAGTTTTACAAAACAAAGCAAGATTTTTTTTCTCCATCCTGAATCCCCTCAGGGTGCACTGTTGGGGGTGGCTGTGGAGGCTGATGGCTTGATGGCCACAATACCCTTTGTTTACTTGATATGGCAGGTGACATTTTTTGTCTACACTTCCTAGGCCCAAACTTTCAGATGACCCAGAAGGTGCGAATTACAGCTTCAGGGCATCATAACTGTTATTGCCTTCTATTCCTCCCCAGTTAAAGAGGCCCCTACCCGCTTGGCCTGGGGGAGTCGAGGTTGGTGTGGGCCTCCAAGGAAAGACAACTTTTCCTCCCAGGGCTCAAGTAGAAAATAGCCCTTCCCAGGAAGTGATGGTGGAAGCTCCAGATTTCTTTGGAGGCTCCTTGGCTGCCACCCATCCCTTAAGAAAAAAGGAAACGGCTGGGAAGCCATTAGGGCTCCAGTACCTAATGTGAGATCCTTGCCCCTGTGACTTTAAAGTGCTCTGGTAGGACCTTTATACTAAGCTGTGCTCTGCAAAATATCAACTAATCAAAACAGAGACTCATATGTTTATCCCTCTGAGCGCCTGTCTCATTCCTGTGTTCCACACCTATGTCAACTGGGGGGAAAAAAACACACACACAACCTAATTGTTGGGAGTTATGTTTTATTTGGGGAACCTTATTGAGACTATAGCCCAGGAGACAGCCTCTCAGATCTCTCTGAGGAATTGTTCCAGAGAGGTAAGGGAGGAACCAGGATATATGAGTTTTTGCTGAAAACAAAACAAAAACAGTCAAACATCAAAAGATTACTGCTAATCACAAAGACAGACATCTCACTTTAACAATTTTAATGCTTTTCTGTGTTTGGGAAGATGCAAGAATTTGGACTCATTGAAATTATTTCTAATATGCATCTTAACTATCTGGGCCAGTATCCTGTTTTACTCCATCCTGAGTTCCCTCAGGACTCACCATCAGCGGGCAGCTGCAGAGGCTGATGGCTTGATGGCTGACAATATTGTTTGTTTACTGAAGTGTCAGGCAACCTTTTTTCGTCCTTACCTGTATACACCTCCCTCCTCCCCAGCCTTCACCCAGTTGCTCCCCTGACAAGAAGCACACTAGGCCACAACCCATGGCAAGCCAGTGACAACCCAGCCAGGGGTCTTGTAGCAGTCCACCTTGGCAAGGCGCTTATCCATTCACAATAGTCTAGAACATCTCAAGGTTTCCCCTTAGCCTGGATGAGGATGTCTCACACCCAACGGAGCCCGCAGCGTTCTGAGCACGCGCCAAAGTGCGCCCACAGTTGAGCACACGGAAGGAACTTCCGGGTTCACGCATGCGCGGAGCCTCCAGCCTCTCGCAAGCTTTTCTCGCGCCTGCGCAAGATCCTCCAATCCAATAGGGGGCAATAAGCCGGTTCTCACACAGGTTTGGCACCGCCGGCGGAACCCGGAAGCAGCCGCTAACCCGGAAGTTGTTGATTTGTAGGGTTTTGGTGGCGGTGGTGGCGGCAACTGTGGCTTTGGAGGCGGCTGCGGCGCTAGGATGAACGCACCTCCCGCCTTCGAGTCGTTCTTGCTCTTCGAGGGCGAGAAGAAGTAAGTGGAACCGGCCTGGGTAGGGGAGAGTCGTGGGCCCTTGACGATCAGCGCCCGAGGATTCTGGGGCTTCTCTGCCTGTCCTTTGCCGGGGAAGGGGCGGGGGTGATTACAGAATACAGAGCAGCCTTTGCTTGAGCGTCGGCTCGGCCTAGCACTTCGTACCTGTGTCTGCCAAACTTAAGACAGTCCTAGGCTGTGGTGAGTCTCCCCGTTTTGCCGATGAGGAAAGCGAGGCTCAGAGAGGTTAAGTAACTCCCCCAAGCGCACAAAAAGTGGCCAGTCTATATTCAAACCCAGGATATCTGGCTCCAAAGTCCTTTTCCTCTGAGATCTGGTGGTCCCCTCTTTCGTCTTCCCTCTTGCCACTTTTATTCTCCTTGCTGTAGCCAGAGTGATGGTTCTCAGACTCATAGCGAATCTATATTCATCGTAAAACCTGCAGTGACTCCTCATTGCCTACAGGTGAAGGGAAATGTAGTCTAGTGCGCAGACAACCTTCGCTTGGCTCCTGGATCCCCCGCCTAAGGTCTCTGTCTTTGGCCTAGTAACTTAACCTGCCTGAGGCCCACTTCCTCATCCGGAGGAAATTAAATCACAGGATTGTCTGTAAGGGGAGATTAAAGAGGTAATTTATGTAAAGTGCTTAGTCCAGGGCTCAGCGCAAAGGAGACCGTCTGAAACGCTGGCTTTTCCTTCTCTTAACTGCCTGGTATGCAGAGCTCTGTGGTCTAGCCCTTGCCAGCCACTTCAGTCTTCCTTGAGTACAGTGGTCCTTAACTGGGGGCCATTTTGCCCCGCAGGAGACTTAAGTAATGCCTGCAAACATTTTTGGTTGTCATAAAGGGGTTGCTCCTGGCATCTAATGGGTAGAGCCCAGGGCTGTTGTTAATATACCCTATATACCAGACAGCCCCCTACAAAAAAGGATTATCTGGCCTAAAATTGTCAGTGGTGCTAAGGTTGAGAAGCTCTGCTTTAGGGAAAAGGAATCCAGAGAAGGTGAGAGCCCACAGAACCAGATGTGACTGGGTTTGGGGTAGCCACACTGCTACTGAGTCAGAGAGGTCTATTACAGGATGAAGAGATGGGGAAAGGCTACCAGGAGGAGGTGGGACCTGAGCCTGCCTTGAAGGGCAGGGTTTAAACTCAGGGGAGGAGGGAAGCCCCTGCCCTCCATCTGTTGCCTCTGCCTTTTCCTAGGATCACCATTAACAAGGACACCAAGGTACCCAATGCCTGTTTGTTCACCATCAACAAAGAAGACCACACGCTGGGAAACATTATTAAATCGTAAGTTCCACATCAAAGGCTTTTGGGAGGTTGTGTTTAATGTGGCTCTTTTGAGGCCAAGTACAAGTTCCAGAAAATACTCTTAAGTGTCTCTGAGCTCCAGGAAGTCCTTCTGGGTGCTGGCTGTGAGAATTCACACATCCCAGTACCTCTTCTTCAAAATGACACTGACCCACATCTGTTCTCATAGCCACTCTTCTGTGTTGGCTCATTATCTGACTAAAATGAAGGTGCAGCAAGCCACAGAAAAGGGGGTCTGTGCGGGGCTCTGCTCACGAGCATGGATAAGCAGTCAGGGTTGCTTCCCACTCACCCCACCCCCATTTGTGGCAGTGATCTCAGTGACACCTGGCATTCTGAGATGTGCCAGAGAGTGTTAACTTCATACAATAAGGGAAGGAAATGGAAGAGGGGCTCTGTGGTCACCCCGTGTCCTGATGGGCACCTGACATTGGTTAGTGGATGTTGTTTTGCACCAGTGAAGTCCTGGCCAGGCAGGTGGTCAGTGATTTGATTACCTCTCTGGCCCAAGGACTTGTCATTCCGCTGCTGAGATGTGCCATCAGCAAAGCCATACCTTTCCCAGGTTTGCGTGTTTGAGGCCGTGGACAGGAGCCTGCCCGGTCTCCTGCTGTGAGTAGGAGGTGGGGTTGCCCATCTGATACCTGGATGACTCTGCCCAGAGCCCAGCCAGTGGTGCACCTAGGCTCTTCTGGGCCCCTGCTGCCCCAGCACTGTGTGAGCCCAGTGTCCCCACCTGTGCCAGGGCTCTCCCTCTCAGTGTTCACACTTGACAGAGCTGCTCTGGAGAAAACCCACAGGTGCCCAGGGCACAACTCACAACGCAGGCTTCACTTCACCATGGCCTCCCAGACCAGGACCCCTGTGTGCAGACGGCAGCTGTCCGCCTGCATCACCCAGAGGACTTCCATTTCCATTTCATTAACTGCTCAGAGCCCGGGGCCTCCTCCCCCTGCTGCCTTTACTGCTGTGCCAGATGCTCTTTTGGGGCTGGGAATGGGGTTTGTGTTCTGGTTTACTGAACACTGGCTGGATTTTTATTGCCCAAGGAGGTCTCTTTGGGGGCGTTGCAGGGTCCCTGATGTCCCCTGAGGGAAGAGTTTGCTGGAAACCCTGTACTAGAGAGGGTCATTGGTCTCATGGATGCAGGAATGTGTAGGCGGGAGTCCCCACATGGTATTCTTCAGTGTCTTTTACTTGAGGATGGAATGGGGGGCAAACAACTGAACATCAAGAGTAGTTGCATTTGCTTACAGGCTCCCACCTACCAGGTAGACTCCTCGGTTAGAATGCCTGGTCAGCCACAAGGGGCCAGAGCCGCAGGGGCACTAGGCTCACCGCCTTCCCTCACCCTGCCCATCCCTGTATCTCAGACAGTTGCTGAAGGACCCACAGGTGCTGTTTGCTGGTTACAAAGTCCCCCACCCCTTGGAGCACAAGATCATCATCCGCGTGCAGACCACACCGGACTACAGCCCCCAGGAGGCCTTCACCAACGCCATCACAGACCTCATCAGCGAGCTATCCCTGCTGGAAGAGCGATTCCGGGTGAGGGGCTGGACATGCCGCTGTGGTCGGGGGAGGGGTCGGTCTGGGCACAGCCTGTATGCCCACAACTAGGTTGACCCCTGGGGTGTTTCCTCTGACTTGTTTGGAGTGGCGGGGAGCGAGTGAGAGGGGTGGAGGTGGTGACAGGAGGGATGACCACCCCAGCATCCAGGAAGCATGGGGTAAGGGGTTATGGAGTTAAGGCCTGGGCCCTGCTGTCCACATCATCGCAGGGTTGGCCGCACCTGTTCATGCAGCAGGCTTCTAAGTCTAGACAGTTTAGAGTGGGAACGATCCATGACTTGTCAGATTTCACCAGGAAGCACCCCTGCTCCACCTGATTCCCATCCCTGTGCTACAGAGAAGTAGTGGGGTGGGTAGGACTGGCTGTCGAGCGCCTGGATCTGTTTGGGGCCCCGGTTCAGTTCGTGGCTATGCTCTGGGGAAGGGAGTGGCGGTGGTTTCCTGACAGACCTTGGTCAGGGATGCAGGGGCTGCGTTTCCGACATCCTCACCCCAGCCGTTCCAGCCAAAGGCGCCACCTCCTTCCTCTCTTTCAGGTGGCCATCAAAGACAAGCAAGAAGGAATTGAATAACGGGCTGGAAGGAGTCTTGCTCAGCCAGTTCCTACCCTGCACGCAGCCCTTCTCCAGGCACTAAGTGGACAAGAGCACGTCCTCCGGCTGTGGGCCTCCTTGTAGCGATTCCAGTGAGCCCCTCGCCCCCAACACTGGTGTGTCCTGCACAGTCTATTTTATCTTTCTAATAAAGTATGGCTGGAAAAGACCCAGATGTGGACGGAAGCAGAGGCGACTTCATCGCAGATGGACTGTCGATTTGGTGGAGGTAGAGGTGATGGGGTGGCCATCTGAAGCAGAAGGGAACTGAAAACCCACGTGCTTCTGGAATCTCTGCTCTAGAAGCCCCAGCTGCCACGTCTGCCTGACTTACTCAGTGTAGGGGCACCAGGTGGGGCCCACAAACAGTTCTCAGCCCTCTTATATAGTAGGATTTAATAAAAGTATTCACCAATAATTAGATCCCTGTCATTACCCCCAAAGCTGAATAAGTTAAGTTGTGTCCCTGGTGCTTTGCAAGAGGCAGGTGCTCCCGCACAGTCAAGGCTGGTTTCTCCTCCAGATGGCAACAATGTTGGAGTCCGTCAGAGCGGTGAGGTAGGTGAAGGTGGAGTTGGCCACTACCATGTTCACCATAGTCCTGGTCACTGTCTGGCCCAGGGCCTGGGGCTGGGGCCACTTAAGGATCTGATGGGAAGACAGAGGGGGCTGGGCTCCTGCTTCTTGATCCAGGCCCCTCTGCCGCACCTGCCCCGTCGGGGGAGAGGTGCGAGCCATGCGTACCTGCGTGGGGGGCTGTGGGGCTGCGAGCAGCGGAGGCTGCTGCGCCAGGATGTGCCGGACATCGTAGAGCCACACGTTGCCCTCCTCGTCCCCACAGAGCACAGTCCCCTCATCTGCCAGGACAGAGATTGGAATCTAAGGTGGGGCAGAGCTCCCAGAGGTGGGGCGGGGATGGGGCAGGTGGGCGACTCACCAGGACAGGTGCTGAGTGAGAAGTAGGCCAGCTCGGTGAGCGACCACTGCAGCCGAGCCAGGACCACCACCGCCACCGTGGACTGGCTGCCCCGGCTCCCCCATGTCTGGCTCCAGCTCCACAGGCAGATGGTGCCCAGGCCACTCCCCTTGGAGGCTGTTGGAAGAGTGAAGAATGGAGACTGGCAATTCCTCTTCCACAGTGGGGACCCCTCAGAAGCCCTTGGACCTAAACCCCAGCCCATGGAGAAGTGACCCCCGGAAGGCCTGACCACGGCCCATCTGGGTTGCAGGAGGCCAGCCTGTCCCCTGAGCAGGGCTCACTCACCCACGACATCCTCATTAACAAACGCCAGCCCATCTACTCTCCGTCCAGATGCCTCGGAGCCCTCAGAGAAGACGAACTCCACTTCACACACCCTGCGGGGCAACAGAAGATGCTGGTCAGCTAAGAAGGCTGCACAAACAAAAAGCTGCTCACTCATTCAAATATCCACTGGGCACTTATTCTGGGCCCTGCCCTCTGTTCCAGGCCCTGGAAGGGGGAGCCTGCGCCTGAGTGTACTGAGTGACAGGTGGTGGGATCTTACAAGCATGAGGGGCTAGTTTTTCTGGGATAGGGGTGGGGGTGTGGCCAGGAAGAGTTCTGGAATGAGGCAGTGCCTCAGGCTGACCGAGATGAGCAGTTCCCCAGGAAGGCAGGCAGGTGTTTCTAGGCTGAGGGCTGGAGGCCTGAGAAGGGAGAAATTGGGGAGGGGTCTGCTCTGACCCTGAGGACAGTGGGGAGTGGCTGCTGAATGCTTCCAAGCTGAATAGTGTGTCTGGGGTCACACTGCTTGGAAAGGCTAGCCAGCAGCTGCCCGGAGTCCTGGAGAGGCTACCTGGGGTCAGAAAGGCAGCCAAGTACCAACCATGAGAAGCAGACACATGTGAGATGTGGAGGAGAAGCCACTGGACTTGGGGACCAGGCAGACATGAGTGTGCAGGGCGGCAGGAAGCAGGTCCAGGGCTGAACTCCCATGTGTGGCACGGGGCCCCACAAGCACCTGGCTTGATAGCTGCCACAGTCTGTGCTAAGGCATTGTGACAAGTTACAAGTCCCTACCCTAAAATCCTTCCCAGGCTATTCCCTGCTCTTTGGATAAAATTCAAGATCTTACCATGGCCCACAGAGCTGGTGTCCCCTGGCCCACGCAGCTTTGCCAACTTTCCCTGTGCCATTCCCTATGGTTTTCTAAGCTGCTGCCAGAGCTCCCTGGTCAGTCAGCTCTCCCCACCACTGGCCCTTTGCACATGCTGTTCCCTCTGTGTGAGCACCTTCCCTCCCTCTGCCCGCCTGACTCCCTCACAGGGCTGACATGGAGAGGATAAGCCTGAGGACCTGTCTGTCTGCCACCAGTCACCTCAGAGTCCCCTCAGCCTCCCTGCTTCCCTCAGCAGCTTACTTTCCTTCATGGTTGACATCAATCACACTTTGTGGCACTTTAATGCCTGTCTTCCAGACTAGGCTGTGGGCCCCACGAGGGTACCCTCTGCCAAGCACTGTCTCAGGCCTTCTGGTGGTTCGGATGAGTCGCAAGCCTCAACCTGGCCTTTCCGGGGCCTCGTTCCTGCCCAGGCACTGTTCCCTTCCCCTCCACTAGCCCTGGGATGTGAGTTATTGTCTCCACTTCACAGATGAGGAAATCACATTGGACAGAGGAAAGTCACATTGTGGGTGAGTGGGAGGACCCAGGCAGAAGTGAAGGCTCGGGTTGAAAGGGAGGTGATCACAGCCCCAGGAGGGAACTGACCAGCCCAGGGGCCCTTCCCCGAGAGATGAGCAGGAGGTGGGAACAGGACAGCTCTCTGAAGAGGACCCTGAAAACAGCCCCCAGGACAGGGGGCGTGGTTTGGCACAACCCCTGGCAGGTGTCCCTGGGGAAACACCTGGACTGGCAGCCATCCAGCTCCAAGGATTGGCTTTCAAGGCATCCCTGCCTGTTCTCACCTCCTCTTTTGAGGCTGGTCCAGCCGCACGTCCCAGCAGCAGCAGCCACCCTCACAGCCGGCCAGCAGGTAGGTATCTGGGCAGGAGGCGACGGGGCAGAGGCGCAGGGCGATGGAGGTGGCATCCAGTGTGAGCAGCTGGCTGCCGGCCGGTGAGGGAGAACGTGAAGCCACAGACTCAGGTGTCCACCCACCCCAGTGGCCAGTGCCCCTGCCCCCACCTTCCAAGCCCTGCCTCAAAGCATCACCTGGCCTGGAATTCATAATCATGGTTGGGCACCCCGATGTCCCAGAGGATGATCCGCTTGTCATAGGAGGCCGCTGAGAAGGAGATGGGAAGGAGAGAGGTGGCCCTGAGGAGGCCCTGCTCCCTCCTGCAGCTGCATCCCAGGCTGAGACTGTGGTCCCAGGGCAGGGAGGGAGGGCGGGCCACAGCTGGGAGGCAGAAGACTCCGGGGCCTGTCATCCTTATCTTGCTCTAACCTAACGTGCCCCAGACCAGGCAGCCAAGCCTCGCAGGCCTCTGCTCAGATGTCACCCTTGCTGGGCTGGCTTGCCACACCTGGAGAGCCGGGGTATCCACCCGGCTCACAGACAGAGTGGCCTAGCTTGCTGGGAAACTCCAAGGCCAGAGAGCAGGTTTTGGGGAAAGACAGAATCCGAAGCCCAGTCAGTCGTCCATGAAGCCATGTTGCTTCTACCAGCCTGAGTCAAACTCAGAGCCCGGTGTGAGGCCCGCCAGCCATAGGAGCTGCCTGCCACCCCAGGGAGGGAGCCTTGAGGCGTCCGGCTGCGGATCACAGGTGCTGAGGGAGCCCTGAGGGTGCAGGGAGAGGGTCTTACTGAAGAGGTGGGTCTCATGGGTGGGGCTGAAGCAGAGGGTGGCGATGGCCTTCTTGTGGGCCCGGATGACCCCACAGCAGAAGCCAGCACGCACGTGCAGCAGCCGGACCAAGCCACGCAGGCCAGCAGCTGCCAGCACGCTCCAGCGCTTCTTGTGGCCAGCCTGTGTGACCACCATCAGGGCTGTCCAGGCCACCGAGAAGAACTCCTGGGGAGGGGAGGGGAGCGGTCACGTGTGTGCATGTGCCTGCAGGGCCGGGCCAGGGAAACTGTGGCCTGGCGTCAAAGAAAAGGGCCACCTGGTGAACAGGTGGCAGAGTCTGGACTGCGACCCCAGCACTCCTGCTCCCGGGAGCTGAGGCTCCGCTGGACACCCTGCCAGCACGGGGCCCCGGCACTCACCTCGCCAGGCGCCTTGTATTTGTGCAGCACCATGCCTGTCTGGCAGTCGATCACACACACGGCCTCCCCGCCACACGTGGCCACGGTCTGGGAAGTGGCCCCTGCCTGCCCTGTTTTGAGGGGTCAGCCTGGTGAAATATCCTCTGTAAGGTTCCCCACTGCAGCTCTGCCTCCTGCCCTTGATGACATTTTTCAAGTTCTCTGTTCCCCCTGCTGCCAAATCCCCCATCCACCCAGGCCACCCCCTTCAGCTGGCATCCCCAGGCCCCCTGCCCAGGATGCTTGTTCTGCTTGCTCCCTGTGGCCCTCGCCCTGCCTGCCCACCAAGGGTGTACCCTCCTCCCAGGCCGGCTCGAAGGCGCAGGCCCAGAGCTGGGTGTCCAGGTCCTGAGGACTGTTGTTCTTGCTGTGGCATTGCAGGAAGTGCAGGGGCTCCAGCTGCAGGGCAGGCTGTGGAGGAAGGGGGGGGGTCACAGCGGTCCCAGCCCTTGCTCCCGCCACACACTCCCTGCCACCCTGCTAGCTTACCTGGTTGCCATCAGGGCCCATGGGGCTGCCCTCCACCTGGGCCAACGGGGAGGTGCACATCCGCTTGTTGGGAGAGAGGCTGAGTGGGACATCGCCCAGTCGTTTCGAGGCCACTGGCCTGACCTGTGGAAAGGGCAGGGAGACAGGCAGGCAGGCTGAGGGCCTGGTGACCATGGGTGCATCTGCCCAGGACTTCCTTCCTCCCCATCAGAGGCTGGACTGTGCCCTCCCACGAGTACAGGAGGCAAGGGCTGGCCTAGGGTCAGAAGTAACCAGCTCAGGGATTGGAGGCCATTTCCTGGGCTCATTTCCACGACACCTGCTTCCCTGCTGCCTCCCTGGGCAGGAAGGGCCATAGCAGGCCCTGGGAGTTCCCCGGAACTCACCCTGGGTTCCAGTGTAGCTGTAGCTTGGGGGGGCTTCTCTGGGATGTCAGCCTCATGCACCTGAGCCCTACCAGAGGCCACCAGTTCCTCAGAGATCATCCGCACCTAGGTGGGGCCAGGCCATCAGGAAGCTGGGCACAGTCCTGGGGGCCTCTAGCACCTGCCCAGACTCCTAGTCAGAGGGTGCTTTCCGAGTTGGCAAGGAGCATTTCCAGCCAGCAGGGCTGCCCTCCCTGACCTGCCCCACTCCCCATATCCCCTTGTGGCCAGAGTCCTCCACGGTGGCTCAGGCTGCAGGAACCAGGGACGAGCTGTGAGAACCGACTCCCAGCACAGCGGGCTGAGGACATACCCGCCACTGGGTGAAGTCGCTGAGAGAGTCGGGCCCGTAGCGGACATCCCGGACAGCAGACTTCACAAAGTCTGCCTGGGCCTTTTCCGCCCCCTCCTCTGGGCTCAGTGTGGCCATGAACTTCTCCCAGTGAGCTGTAACCTGGCATGAAAGGGACCAGATTCAGGCCCAGCCCACCCCAGCTCTCCTGGACCCTCCATGGCACCTCTGCCTCCAATCTCATGGCCAGAGGTTATCTCAACCTCACCTCCTGGAAGCCTCCCTGAACCACAGACTTCTTAGCTGCAAGTGGTACAAACCCAAGCAACACACAAAGAGAAACTGCCCCAGAAGGGAGGAGCTGGCCCAGAGTTAAGTCACCATGAAAGTGTCCCAGCCTTCCCTGCCAGGCCCTGCCTGCACAGGCAGAGGGCAGGACCTCCAAGAACAAGAGGCCAAGCATCACAGCCAGGCTCAGAGTAACAGGTCAGGCTAGGGGCTCAGGGCTGCTCATGGTTGGGGCAGAGAGCCCCTGTAACCCCCGTTAGTGTCCTCCAAATGTCTAATTCTGTCACTTGCTCCTGGAGGCCCCTGACTGCTCACCAGCAACACCTCCCTGCCCCTTACCCTGATGGTCAGCTCCCGGTTCAAGTTCTCCACCTGAGAGCAAGTTGAGGAAGCATCCTTGCCATTGACTTTACGGAGCTTGGGCAGGAGGAAGGAAACTTTCAGGTTGTCACTGACCTGGAGGATGTGAGAAGAGAGGCTTGGGGTCGCCCAACCTAGGGCTCAGGGGCTGCTGAGCCCCAGCCCACAGACTGCTGGCCCTGGATGTGGGGCCACTGGGGGCCATCACTTACTGTCAGGAAGGGGTTGCCCTCCAAGCTGAGCTCCTCGAGCTGTGGGAACTGGCACAGGGCGGTGACATCACCCAGCTGGTTGTTGGCACAATGGAGGATGCGCAGGTGGGACAGGCCCAGGTTGGCGGGCAGCGTCTCCAGTTGGTTGTTGGAGAGGTCCAGCTCTTGCAGCTGCTTCAGGCGGCTCAGGAGCTTGGGGTCCAAGTGCTCTGAGAGCAGCTTCAGCCCCGATAGGCTGGGGAGGAGGCAGACAAGGAGGGTTCAGGGGGCAGGCAGCCCATGGCGCCTCCAAAGGCGTTTTCACTTGACATGTCTTGTTCATGCGAAGCCTCTCCTCCAAATCCCCCCCACCTTATTTTAATCTTGTAACTATTTTAGAACTCGGGGGAGCTGGCCTCCTCCAGGATGCTTTTCCTGATCCTCTAGGGGGGCTCCTCTGTGCTTTCCAGGTCCTCTGAAAATATCTCAACAGGTTGCTCCATATTTTTTCTGCAAGATTGTCTGTCTCCCTAGCAGCGCAGGCCCTTTTCTGGGGTAATGCCGCTCCAGGCCCATGGCCCAACTTATGGCGAGGACGGCCTTTGGCTCCAGTGATTAGAGACTCTGTGGAGCCAACAGGGCTATAACCGGGTCGACCAACGAAAAGAGAAGGGTCTCAGCCTATTTTCCCGATCATCCCGCGACCCAGGCCCGGGTGGCGAGCTGTAAGGCCCCGGCCCTTACTCCAGGCTCCGGATCTTTCCCAGCCGGTCGCTCTTGGGTCGCCCCCGCTGGATCAGCAGCCGCGCCGAGAGGGGGCCCATGGCGAGGAGGCGCGGC